TTATGATGTCTCTTAGAGTGGTCCTCTTTGTGTCCATTTTGTTTGGGACTCTCTGTGCTTCCTGGACTTGCATGTCTATTTTCTTCACCAAATGAAGGAAGTTTTCTTCCATTCTTTTTCCAAACAGATTTCCAATTTCTTGCTCTTTCTCTTCTCTTTCTGGTACCCCTATGATGTGAATGTTGGAACACCTGAAGTAGCCCCAGAAGCTTCTTACACTATCCTCATTGTCTTGGATATTTTTTTCTTCTTGTTATGATTTTTTTTTTTTTTTGCTTTCTTATGTTCCAAATCATTGATTCTCAGCTTCAAGCAGTCTACAGTTGTTTCCCTGTAAATTGTTTATTATTTCAATTAGCGTATCCTTTGTTTCTGACTGGATCTTTTTTATGCTGCTGAAATCCTCACCAAGTTCCTTGAATATCCTTATAACTAGTGTTTTGAACTCTGCATCTGATAGATTGCTTTTATTCATTTGTTTAGTTCTTTTTCTGGAGTTTTGATCTGTTCTTTAATTGGGGCCATTTTTCCTTGTCTGCTCCTTTTGGCATGCTCCATGTGCTTGTTTCTATGTATTAGGTAGAGCTGCTTGACTCTGTGTCTTGGGAGCATGGCCTAATGTAGTAGGCGTTCTGTAGGGTCCAGTGGCACAGCCTCCCCCATCACCCAAGATGGGTATTCAAGGTACACCCTTCATGTGGGCTGAGTATACCTTGCTCTTGTAGTTTAGCCTCAGTTGCTGTTGGCGGGTCAATGGGAAGGATTTACCCAGGCCAGTCAGCTGCAAGGACTTGCTGTGACCACAGAACACTAACCTTCACCCTCCGTGGAGGATCAGCTGTGCAGGGGCAGGGTGGTGATGCTCTGACACGGTATGTAGCAGTCCACTGGGTGCACAGGCACTGGAGTTTCCCACATGGTGCAGGCCAAAGTCAGCTCCTTCCTTTATTTTTCCTGGGACAACCATTCATGAGCTATAAAATAATATGAGATGGCTGCTACTTGTTCTGGGCTTGGAGATTCCCAGGTGAAGCCAAGCTGTGAATGGGCACTAGAACTGACAGAACTCGAACCTGGCTGCTTTTATTACCCATCCTGGGGCCACTTAGCTAGAAGTACAGGGCCTGGGGGCTCAGTGAGGCCAGCTGTTGCTTGTTTGATAAGACTTAGAAAGTTGTGAAGCATGAGCCAAAACCTGCCATTCAGAAGGAGAAGTCATGGTTAACATCTTGGGTGGGCCCATCACTTGGGTGGGATAGAGTCTCAGGGGATCTCCAAGTCAGGGCAAACAGTGTTAGCCATGTTGATGGAGTCTTAGATATGGCAACTCTCTGAAAGCTCTGTGGCTCTGTGAGGGGAGGGCTCAGAAAAGGGACAATGGCCTCTGTCAGCTTTTCTGTCTTGGAGAAAGCTGTCCCCCAGCTCCCACCTTGATGCCAGATCTTCACTTTTCCCTGTATGCCACTGGTGCATTTCAAGCTGCTACCTCAGTGCTGGAACTCAGGTGAGTAAGTCTAAGTAAGTCCATTTGTGGATCCTTTAAGTGGAACTGCTTGGGGCTCCAGCATTTTCTTCTAATGATTCAATCCCCACTTCTTTTTGCAGTCAGAAATTATGGGGACGTATCTTCCTGGCACTGGAAGCCTATACTGGGTGGCCTGGTGTGTGACTGGGACTTCTTACTCCCGAGATATCCCTCCCGAATTTGTATCTACCACATGTGGTTGAGGACCAGTCCATTCCGTATCTTTGCTTCTTCTACCAGATTGTATGGATGTGTTTTCTCTAATTCCTTAGTTGTTCCATTCAGCTCAGTTTCTGACAGTTCTGAGTGAATGGTTGTTTAATAGTTTAGTTGTAATTTTGATGTGGTTGTGCAAGGAGGCGAGCCATGTTTACATATGCCGTCACCTTCTAATACATTTTTTACTGAAATACCATTCACATCTTAACTAAATATAATTAAAATACCAAGGTGAATAAAAATACTCCACTGGAGGCAGGAAAAACCAAAAATCTCCTAAATTTGTTTCAGCTATTATAGCTATGTCTATACTTTGGTCATCTTAGTATACAAGATAAAGTCATAGGACTAAACTAAATGTATTCTTCATCTAAAAATATTTTTTTTCTTGAATACCTATTATGGAGTCAGAGGTACGTACTATAACTTAGTTCTGGGATTTGTATTGGTGAAATTCTCAGGTTAGAGACTAGGTTAATTGTCTTTGTTGTTTTCTTAAGAAACTTTTCCTTTTGGTCGTGCATATATGGACACAGGTGAATATTACTAAAATGAACCTTCTCTGGGTTTCAGTCTCTGGCATTTCAGAAGCAGAATGGCATTTGGAAATCAGAATATCTGTTTGTAACCTGCATCTTCCATTCACTCATGTGGCCTTGGCAAGTTATTCTAGATTTCATTTTTATCATTTGTAAAATGGAGATTCAAGTACTTTGAGGGTTATGCTGCTCATAAAGTGCTCAATTTTAGCATATTGTTATATCAGTTGTATCCCAGAGTTTGAAGCTAGAAAAAATTTTGAAGTTTATCTCATTTGATTTCTTCAATCTGTATATAAGGGGACCCCTAAAAGTTCAAACTAGTACAAATATTAGTCTGCTCAGTTTTCTTAGATATTTATATACCTGGACAAATATTTTATTTTCTAAATGAGACTTCTTAAAAATAAACAGAGACATATACTTATAAAAATATTACCAACAATACAATTATATATCAACACCTACATGATCCTAATAACCAATGTTACCCCAATAAATTTAATATAAAAAGAAAAAATACAATTATATAATGTGTATTTCTGGCAATGCAATTTTAGAAATGGTAAATATGCACAATAGGTTTGGCATATTACTATTAGAATCTTATAAGAAGTGTATTGGGAAAATTTACACAAATATCTAAATAAAATTATACACTACTAGAAAAAAATTATCTCATAATTAGTATCATATGGGCCAAGTATAATACTATCTGAAGTGAAAGAGACCACAATATTCTAAGTAGTAAAACTAAAATAAAAAATTTTACCTTGTAAAATATAGCTTTGTTAACATAGAATCAAAAATAATGTATCATAATTACAGATAAACAAAAAAAGAAAAAAATTTTTCTCTTTCAGCCTTCAGAGGCTAAATTTATTTTATTTAAAAATGGGTGCAACTGTGCCCCAGCAACCACTCTGGTGGTGTATTTATATAACTTGTCCCCGGATATGGAACTTCTGAGAATCTGCTCTTCAAAAAGATGACACTCAAAACATTTTAGAGTGTAGTTTTTTGACTCTGACTGTGCCACTTTCAATTCCCCTCAAAATACCACTGTCAGCTTAAAAAAATTTGTAATTTTTTTTTTTTTTTTAGTGTTGGCTTTTGTATTCTGGGACTCAGAAGTGATTCTCTCCATTGCTAGTGCAGAGACACAGGAGCACCTCACCCGAGCCTCTGCCTTTCTGCCCAGTTTCCTGCTGGAAAGAGCCCTGGACAGGTCTGTCAAGGGATCCTGTCAAAAATTATAACTAGAGTGTAGGAAATTTGGTGATTTTGTTTAAAATTGTTTTTCTTTCATTTACATATCTTAAGCTATAAAACAGTTTAAGTATGACACACATTTTACACATGTAAAATACATTCACAAAACAGCATTTTATCAAGTACTTTTTTAAAGTAATGTTGATACAATAAGGAAGAGGTAAGAAAAAAGAAGAAAATCAAATTCTCAGGTTCTTATGCCACTGGTCAAAGACATTAGAGATCCTAAAAAAGAAATCATAAGAAGAAAACATTTTAGCTGAAATGCATTTGGTAAAATTATTTAGGGATAAATAAAATAAAATGACCCAGAGTATAAAATGAGGATAGAAATCTTGACCAGTTGGTCAAGATCTTAATTTATTTCATGAAATTTTCTGTACCATGTACAAAAGGCCATATAGAAAATCCAGCCTGTCAGCAGAATGTTGGAATTTGTAATTTTGAATTATTCAAGTGGAGGTGGAAATGACAAGATTTACCTTGTTATAAAACTCTCCTATACTCATTTTAAAATTTAGTCTTCCAATCATCATACCTTCTTGACAACCAAATTTACTTGTGTGCATGATCTGTAATTGGACCTTTTGTTGATTAATTATTACAGGATGCAAGAGATGAAGGTAATGAGATGGAAGGCAGCAGGATGAGTAAATTAAGAAGGACAAGAAAGAAAGTCACTAAATCAGAGATTTTTTCAACTGAAATAGGAGAAATGCATATATCCAACTCAAAAGGTATCTTGTACGCATGCTTGGCTAACTTAGTTGATGCAGTGTGACTCTTACTCTCAGGAGGTAGTTTGTTATTATCATCCCTCAAAAATATATGGTCAATGACAATCTCTATTTGGTCCACCTTTTCATAATAAACTAGCTTTTCTTTGATGGAAGAAGCAAAAACAAAGAAAATTTATTTTTATGTAGGCAACAAAATAGATGGCAAATATAGACGTACAATATAAATATACGAAAACAATTAACCAAAATATTCAGAATTTATAGGACGGCAGAACAAGGAGATAAAATGGCAAAAAAGAGAATGTAACAGAAGGAACATATAAGTAAGAAAAAAGCACATGTCTGTTCTGAGAATGAGTCTAAAGATCATTACTGAGGATTTGGGAGGCCCTGATAAATGTGTGGAGCATGTTTGCATATGACATGTTGGGATTCCAACTAGACTCTAATCGATCTGAAACTAGGAGTTAATTTGGACACCAACTCAACTCTAGGAACATTGGTGTTTTCCAAGGCAGGTCAGTAGGAATGGCTAGTGCATGGCAACAATAAAAAGCAGTGAGATTTCTTTAGATTTTTAAACTTGTTTTTAAATTCTCTATAGACAGTGCACCCCTTATGGCCTGCAACTAAGATGTACTATGCCCTCTGCCTCTCATTTGGTACGTCACTACCTAGGGATAAATTATTTCCTCAAGCATTTCTCTCCATATCACTTTGAAAGATAGTTGAAAGCAATGGAAACATGACTTAACATTTTTCTTTACTACAGAAAGGATCAAAAAACAAATGGTGTGTCACAAATTGGGAGATATGAGCAAACCAGTTGTGGATTATGGCTCTGCTGAATCTCATCTGCCACAAGATGACAAGGACTTCCAGGGTCATATATCAGTGATAAAACCCTCGCCACTCAAAACATCAGCCAGAGCTCCTGGTGGTCAATTCGACCCAGACTCTGGCTATACTGGTAAGGACTCTGGGACAAACTGGCATAGGTTTCAACCACTAATCCAAAATTTGTGTTTGAATTAGAGAAAATGTGATTTTATTTGAGGAATGCTAGCCTGGTAGTCAGAATACTTAGAAGAATTTATACAGCTATCATTTATAAGGTGCTTTACAGCTTTCTTTACCCACTAGGCTGTTCATCTGGAAAATGGAGGGGTTGTAATGGATGATCTATCAAGTCTTTTCTAAAAGTGACTATCAGTTATCCTAAATTTCTGGTTTATTAATCGTGATACGGCTATTTTGGACTATGAGTGCATTGGTTAAAAAGCTCTGAGATCCAAATGAGAGAAACTAGCTAAAAAGGAGTATTTCTTCTCCCTTGAGGGAATCTGTAATGAAAGGGTTGAACAAACAAGGTTTGGAAAGTCAGAAATATAGCACTATGTGAAGTTAGAGAGGCAGTATCCACCAGGCAATGCTTAATTCTGACACTAATTGCATGTCTGGGAGTTCCCCAAGATTAATCTGAATTTTCATAATTTGCTGTAAGGACTCACAGAACTCACTGAAAGTGATTATACTCAAGGCTATGGTGTATTATTATGAAAGAACACAGATTAAAATCAGGTAAGGGAAGTGATGCGTTGCAGAGGAGTCCAGGACAGTTCTAAGCGTGGGGATTCCATTTGCCTCCTCCCAGTGAAGTCATGAATGACACTATTCTCTTGGCAACAATATGTGACAATATGCACAGATGTACAGAATATGACAATATGGTTATAACCAGGGAAGCTTATCTGAGTCTTGGTGTCCAGATTCTTTGTTGGGGTTCCACAGCCAACTGGCCACGTGACTAATCTTAGTCTCCAGCCCCAGTGGGAGTCAAGCTGATACTGCATGGCTCAACAATAAATGACATTGCTAGACTTTCTAGGGGGACCAGAAGCCCCAGGTAGGCAAAGATACTCTTGTCAGGTAGGAAATTCCAAGATCTTAGAGATGACCTCCTAGGGCTCCAGGGTAAAGGCTTGTGCTCTCCTTGGGCAAGGTGAAATTCTTTACTCCACGTGGGGTCTAAGGAGGAAGTAGAGTCTGGGAGTGAACACTATCAGAACTCTGTATATTCATACATGTTTTCTATTGACAGCATAACAAATTACCACAAACTTAGCATCTTGAAACAACACAATTCACCGTCTCAGACGTCTATGTATCAGAAGTCTGGGTTGGCTCAGCTACTTTCTTTTTTTCAGATTTTGCATCAGAGTGTTGCACATCAGAGTGTTAAAATCAGAGTGTTGAAGCTCTGGGTTCTTAGCTGGAAACTCTAGGGAATTTCCACTTTCAGTTCATTCAGATTGTTGGGAGAATGCAGTTCCTTACAGTTGTAGAACTGAGGTTCTTATTTCCTGGCTGGCTATCAACTGGGATGGCCCTGAGCTCTTAGAATCCTCTCTCTGTTTCTATATCTCATAGCAGCAATGCCTCAAATCCTTCTCATGTTTGGAATCTCTCCCAATTCGCCTTCTTCCATAGTTCTTTTCTGCCTACAATTGGAGAAAGTTCTCTGCCTCTAAGGGTCCACTCGGATAATCCATAACAATATTCCTATTTAAAGGTTGTATATAACTATAATAACATCTGAAAAGTGCCTTTTGCCATGCAGATTGACATAATCTACAGGTTCAAGGGTTTAGGGTGTGAAAATCTTTGGGAGGCTATTCTGCTTATCACACCGTCTCTCATCTCAGCATTTCTCTGTGCTTTTGTTTTCATGAATTTGTCCATGAAGAGAATGAGCAGTGACAGCTCCCAAGCATCAGGGATTATCACACAAATGCCATAGGGCCAGGCAAATAACACAAGTGAAGTGAGGAGTGGGGGTGTAGAATAGTAAGGAGTGGTGCTGGCTTGGAGAAACTAGAGCAGAGGTTGACAAATTATGGTCCAGGGACCACATTCAGCTTGTGGGCTGGTTTTTATAAAGAATATTTATGTGTTGTCTGTGGCTGCTTTTGTGCTACAGTGGCATAGTTGAGTAGTTGCAACGGATAGTATGTGGCCTGAAAAGCCACAAATATTTGCTATCTTGCCCTTTACAGAAAATGTTTGCCAACCCATGAATTAGGAGATGCATGCTCCATTCCAGCACTCCAGTCAATGGTTGCTATGAAGAAATATTCACCTGGTGTTCCACATCTAGTTTTTTCAGGAGAAACTTGAGCTCAAGATCCCTATGTGAAATTTTCTGATATTTAAAGGTCAATTAATTCAAAAAAGTTTTCAAACATTGGGGAGGCTAATAAGAAAACATCTGCCGGCCATATTGGCTCTTTCACAAACAGTTTGTAACCTTTAGGCAAAAAAAGAGAGATGAAATTTACCATTTCTTAGTCTCAAATCAAAAAATCTGAGGGAAGAACTTGTGTCTTTGCACAAATCAACTAGGAGCTTGGATTCCATTACTGACTCAACTTAATTCACTCAGAAGCTCCCTCTCTGGCCCAGGGCTAGACTAAGTGTTTTTAAACCCTAAGCACCAAAACATTTATAACCTCAAATAAACCACCTTTATGTATATTTTAAATATACATAATTTAAAAATAAATATAAAAATCAACCCCCAAAATAAGTGCAAACACTTTCAACATAGCATTTTCATCTCTGTGATAGGTATTCTGAATTAAAAATAATTATATGGTGTTTTTTTTTTTTTTTTCCCCAAAGAAAGGTTCTCCCCTCCTCACCTACATTTCCACATTTTATTGTTTCTGTCCCTGCTTCGTACCAGGTTATTCAGCTGCCTGTGCTTTCTAACACTGCTGGGCTAACGTGATATGGTGGAGGGGGAGGTGCATTTGCAGCAGTAGGGTGGCTCCCAGAGCGGCCACGTGGATGAAGCAGGGCAGGCCATGGGGAAGGAGTACTGCCGATTATCCAGCGCGCCATAAACCGAATGGTTACAGAGTGCACTCTCAAATGCACTTTTCTTCTTTTGAATTGATATTCCTGAAAGCCCAAATGCCTAACTAATCTGCCTTTTATAAGTGACTATGACTTGATATCTACAAGTGAAATATGTCCTCATTGTCACTGAACACAGGCAAAGCATTTCTTCAAGGCCTTCTAGTTGCTATAGAGCTTGAGGATTTTTGTGGTTTTTTTTTTTTTTTTTTTTTTTGTATGTGTTTTCCGGTTTTTTCCCCCTAAGCAGTCACAGCAGTGAAACTTCTTCTATAAAAGCACATTGATTTAATTTATTAGTCCTCTGAGGGATGAAAAAGGAGAATACCTCCCAGGAACCACAGTGTAAGAAAAACAAATGAGACCCTGAACTGGCAATTGTCTGTCTGCCATTCATCATGGGCATCTGGGAAGGGCTGACTAAAAGGTTTAATTGTAACTAACAAGGATGATTTATTTGAAGAAAAGAAATTCAGACAATGATGCATCAAGATTAGTTACTGCCTTGAAAATGAAATTAGATTGGAATAGGGTTATTATATTTGGTAAAAAAAAAATGAACTTTGAAATGAAAAATCGGTGTTTAGGGTACATACTAAAATATGTGATGCAAATTTTGCTTGCTTGTTAATTAGACAAGGCCAAATCACACAGCATGCATTAATTAATTAGTTAAATCACACATCCACTTATTAAAGCCACTGAGTATCTATGATATGCAGGTACTAGGGATACAGCAGCAAGTAAAGCTCAGCCCCTGCTCTCTTTGAGCTGACCTGCAAGTGAGGAGAGACAGACAATAATGTGCTTTTACAATATGGCAGGCGATGAAGGCTCTGCAGGAAATGATAACAAGATGATATGTTTTTATGGACTAAATTGTGTCTCCCAAAATTCATATGTTGAAATCCAGATCCCTAGTACTTCATAACGTTGACTGTATTTGGAGGTAGGATTTTAAAAGAGCTAAATAATGTTGAATGAGTTGTGCAGGGTGGCTCCTAAGTCCAGTATGACTGGTATCCTATATGACTGGTGTCCAATATGACTGGTGTCCATGTAAGAAGAGATTAGAGGACACACACACACACACACACACACACACACACACACACACACAGAGGGAAGATGAGGTAAAGACAACAGACATCTGTAAGCCAAGGAGAGAAGCCCTCAGAAGAAATCAACCCTCCTGACACCTGGATCTTGGACCTCTACCCAATAAAACTATAAGAAAATAAATTTCTGCTAAAGCTTCCTGGTCTGTGGTTTTTGTTATGGCAGCCCTAGAAAACTAATACATACTCACTGTGTAGCCATTGTGTAACTTGGTGATCTTAAATTGAATCAGTGAATTTGTCCACATTGTGATCAAATCTCATAGAACTAATATTGTAGGTGATTATGTTTTATTGATTTTTTCAGGACTTTTTATCTGGCAAATTATCTCAGCTTCAGAGTCATTCAATGGCATGTTTATTGTCTATAGTTCCCTTATTCAATACTATAAAACTTCATGAGGGCAGGAGTTTTTCTGCTGCTTCCTAGACTCTGTTCAATATAAATAGTAGTGGTAACTAAAAAAAAACAACAAACCAAACAAAAACAAAAACTATCCTGAGTGGATCAATGTTTTTCTTATTTTAAAATAATACTATTTATTGTAGAAACTTTAGAAGATACAGATAAAGCAAAGAACTAATAGAATTACTTGTGATCATATTACTGGTAAATCAATAAAATGACCTTATTCCTTTATTAGAAAATGCATTCTTATTTTTTTAGGTTGTTAAAATATTTGTAGCTTATATATAATGGCTTATGATGTTTAGAATACTGATTATCTTAGATTTTTCATATTTTAAAATACCTGTAAATTTTATTTTCTTTAAGGGGAATTATTTAACTTGGGCAGAATACCCAATACTTCAGACTAGGTTGGGAACACAGCAGCTGCTAATTTAGCATAAAATACTGTAATTACTATAGCTTAATTGTTTGTGTTAAATGGAAGGTAGTTATAAACCCTCAGGAGTCTCAGAGTAGCCAAATGTATCAGTGACAGAACATTATCTTTAATATATTTGCATAGGTGGAACCAGTAATTTGTTTCCCTCATGCTTCATCTACTTAAAATCTACTTAATCTGTTTTTAAACTGTCAATCTCTATGCTTATTTGTGAAGCCTAATTATATGTCAAAAAATGATATTCAGTTGTCACTTTAAAATTATAGCTGCTTAATGTCAGTGATGTGACAGATTAATGGGTATACAATTCAGATATGATCATGGTAGCATTATTAGAATTATAGTAATTTTGCTCACTTTATGCACTTAAAAAGTACTTGTATGGTGTTTACTGTCTTCCAGGAACTGTTAAATAACTTGTTTAATTGTCATAACAAGCCTATCATATAGGCTTTAATCATCATAACAAGCCAATAGGTATATTGTATCAATGAGAAAGCCAAGGCACACAGAATACAAGTTCACTGGGAAAAGCAGGATTTAGAGAGAGGCAGATGGGCTCCAGTGTTTGTGCTGAATCTCTGCAGTCTGCTGCCTCTCCTAAAGGTTTGGACAGTAGATAGCATTTATAATGGGTATTATGTGCCTGACCCCTATCTATATGCTTTAGATATATTTGTCATTTTATGGTGATGAACCATCCACTGGAAATCAAAGCTTTGAATTCTAGTTTAAATTTTGACAATGAAGTGAGAAAGTGATATGGGGAACCTCATTGTATCTCTCTTAGGGATTTGAGCTAATGAGTTGATTGGATTAGCTGATTTATCTTCAAAATCTCTTCTAATTCTAATGTTTTAGAATTTGAAGGTAATCTTAGAAGTCTTGAAAAAAACATTTTCCTTGGTTTCTAATTTTAGAGTGATTATTGATATATGGAGACTTCCTATGGCCATTTTATCTTTTGTTTTCTGGTTGCTCTGTGTTTCTAATTTTAAAATTGAGTACTCAGTCTATATTTTTCATCTCCTGCACTCCTATTCTTGAAAAATACTTTTGTTTACTTATTTACACAAATTTTAAATTTGACAGAAAAATGTAGATGCATTAGAATCAGATACATATATTTTTTTTATTGTTGACACAATTACAGATGTGAAAGCCCTTTGGTAGACAGAACAAAAAAAAAATACAGGTACTTTTAATTTAGGTATTACCAGTTAGTTCAAGAAGCTCTAAATGTTTTTAATGGTAGTCATCTATATACAGATTTATATGGTGCCAAAGCTGCCCAATTATGCAAATATATTCTAATATCCATAAGCAAAGGCATTTTCAGTAAGTATTTACATATGATGTTGCTATATACTTATGCAAATAGTGTTAACTTTCACCTAGTCCCAAGTGATAAACAATCTCTTAGGCTGTTTAGGGACAATATTCTTGGGAATACATAAAGACAGAATAAGAAAGGTAAGATCTCTAACCCAATGACATGAATATATGATGCTTTTGTTAATAATCATAATGAATAATTCGCTGCTCTCCAGCCCCTCTTTGCTTCTCATTTCATCATGATCTAATACTTTAAAACCATTCTTTGTTTTACAGATAACAGCAGAGACAGCAAACAAATGCCGACAGTACCTCAACTCTCATCTAGAATGAAGCACATTAAACAAGACATAGCCCAAAATCACCTTCAGTTTGTGCGATTTGAAGCAGCAGATCTCCATGGGGTGTCCAGGTCTAAGAGTATCCCTGCGCACTTTTTCCAAGTGAGTTTTATACGTAGAGTTATAACTGAATGTAATTTCATGACTGTTAGCAAGCAAATGGTCCTTATTATTCTTTCTCATTTTATCTTAATCTATACAATAAATTTAGCTGGAAACAGGTAATTTATATTGTTTCTTCCCTTGTCCCTTGCCAAACACATTATTGCTCCCCAAGTGATAGGTGAACTCAAGAGTAAAGGATTTTAGTTTCAGTTATAGTTGATAGGCTTCAGTGATTAATACACATGGAAAGCTATTATTCCAGGAACTAAAATGCATGACCTATGTGACTCCAGGGGGTTAACCTCCAAGCATTTCAACCTTTGTGTGCCAGGGTGTCTGCAAGTGATGGAGATAGTATCTGAGCCATTGTGTTCCAGGAAGGGTTATTAGTGATGCAGATAAAGAATTGTTGATCAACAAATATAGAAGTACTAGGAAAATTGCCTCCAGACTGAAATTTATCAGATTAACCTTTTTTTCCAAATGCCTTAACTACATTTTCTTCTCCTTATGAAAAGATCAGCTTGAGATGAGATATTAAGATAGTTTTTGAGGGTACATAACCCACCATCTTCTCAGATCTCAGGCATCTGAATCAAGTGCCCATAAAGATTTTAATCCTTGTCTCTACTTTTTGGTTCTGGTAGTGACAAGCTGCACAAACACCAATTTTTCTGGTTTCAGGAGCAGAACATATACTTTCAGCTCCCAAACAGCCATTCCTTTACCCAATAGAAATATAAAACTAAATAAGACTGGTAATTTTAGTCTTTCTGCCTTAAATAATTTCCCTCCATATAATTATCTTTTCTTTCTTACTGCAATTATGAAGGTTATACTTTGTTTAACATGAGAAAATTGCAACAGAAGACCCAGAAGCAACAAAGGAAAATATAAATTGAAAGAATATACTAGATTGAAAGCATATCCCTTTTAGCTTTCTGAAAAAGCATTTTTTAGTAATTCTGATAAGAAAATATCCTATTTTTTTGATGATTTAATGAATATTAAGTTCTCAAAAATAGTAATATCAAAATATATTGTTTCTTTGGATATGTTTGGATGAGATTTTAAGATTTTTTTCAATTTTATCGTGTATTTATTTTAATGATAGATTTATGGTGCTACTGAAACATCATTTCTTAGAAAGAGATGTCAGTATTATATATAAAAGTATAAAAGTTAAGCATCATCTAACTTTATTTTTTAAAAATATATCACTGTTATCACTTTAATATCAAATTATACCTTTTAAAATTTGCTTTATGTTGGAAAAAACTGGTATCTTCAAAACATTTTTTAAAGAATGTCAACAGATTCAAATTTGTTTCTTAGGAAATTCCTTACATCAGTCTGCAGATATTGTTTTCCCTTTATCTTGGCAAGAACACGTGTTGGTTAACTTTGATAATAAAATGTGACATTTACTGTGGACAGACTCTAATTTATGTGAATTTATTTCAATCAACAAGAAAAAGTAACTGGCACTTCAGGCACTTGCCAGAACCCTCGATATAAAACTGTTTGCTATTATGTTTTTGCCAAATCTAATCATTTAGTCCACTAATGGCATCTAAAACTATATATTTAAAATATTACTCTAGTTCCTCAATGGAACTCCTTATGAAAATATAATTTAATATGTTCTCTATATTTGCTGAGGATCGATATAATTGACATACAAAGAAAAAGTTTGCATTCTACTTTTAAAAATGCCACTGAAAAGATTTTTCCGATTTCCAGTCAATATGGTGGTATAGGTAAACATGGCTCACCTCCTTGCACAACCACGTCAATATTACAACTAAAATATAGAACAAGCGTCAAGCAGAACCATCAACAACCGAGCTGAATGGAAGCCTGACAACTAAAAAATTAAAGAAACAACATCCATCCAACTGGTAGAAAGGGCAGAAATGCAGAATGGGCTGGTACCACATCCATGTGTGGTGGATAAAAATTTGGGAGGGATATATTGGGAGTGAGGAGTCCAAGCCCCACACCAGACCCCACAGCCCAGGGTTCCAGTGCCAGGAAGATAAGTCTCCAAAACTTCTGGCTGCAAAAACCAGCAGGGATTGAGTTGGTAGAAGAATCTTCTGCCCCAAGCAGTTCCTCTTAAAAAACACACATGGAATCACCTTCTCATATTCACTATCTCTGAGCTATAGCACCAGGGTGGCAGCTTGAAAGGCATCTGTGGTATATAGGGAGGAAGTAAAGTGGCTGGCATCGAGGTGGGAGCTGGGGGACAGCTTTCTCCAAGACAGAAAAGTAGGCAGAGGCCATTGCTCCTATTCAGAGCTCTCCCCCTACAGAGCCACAGAGTTGTCAGGGGAGTTCCATATCTGAGACTCTATCAACATGGCTAACACTGTTTGCCCTGCCTTGGAGATCCCCTGAGACTGTCCCACCCAACTTATGGGCCCACCCAAACTGTTAACCATGACTTTTCCATCTGAATGGTGGGTTTTGGCTCATGCTTCACAACTTTCTAAGTCCTATCAAAAAAGCAACAGCCAGCCTCGGTGAGTCCCTAGCCGCTGTACTTCTGGTTGAGTGGTCCCAGGCCCAGCACTAGCAACAGTCAGGTTAGATTCATAGATTGGCTTCACATGGGAATCTCTAAGCCCAGCACAAGTAGCAGCCATCTCAGATTGCTTTATAGTTCATGAAGGGTGGCCCCAGGCAGAACACAAGTTGGAGCTGACTTTGGTCTGCACTACCCAGGAAACCCCAGAGCCTGTGCACTCAGGAAAGAGCCATAGAGACCATGTAGGAGCACCACCACCCTGCTCCTGTATGGCCCATCCTCCATGGAGGGTGGAGGTTGGTGCTCAGTGGTCACAGCCAGTCCTTGTAGCTGACTAGCCTGGGTAAATTCTTCCAATCCATCTGCCAACAGCAATCAAGGCTCAACTATAAGAGGAGGGTGTGCGCAGCCTACATGAAGGGTGCACTGCAAGTACCTAGCTTGGATGATAGGGAAGGTTGCGCCACTGGACCCTATGGGATATATACTATACTAGGCCTCTCTATCAAGACAGGGAGTCATAACAGCTCTACCTAATACATAGAAACAAGCACAGGAAGGCTGCCAAATTGAGGAGACAGAGAAACATGGCCCCGGTGAAAGCACAGATCAAAACTCAAGAAAAAGAACTTAACAAATGAAGATAAGCAGTTTATCAGACACAGAGTTCAAAACACTGGTTATAAGGATGGTCAAGGAATTTAGTGAGGACCTCAACACCATAAAAAAAAAGTTGTCAGAAACGAAGGATACACTAATTGAAATAAAGAACAATTTACAGGGAAACAACGGTAGAGTGATTGAAGGGGAAAATCAAATCAATGACTTGGAACATAATGAAGCAAAAATACAACCAATCAGAACAACAAGAAAAACAAATCCAAAAAAAACAAGGATAGTATAAGCAACCTCTGGGACACTCTCAGGTGTTCCAACATTTGCATCATATGGGTGCCAGAAAGAGAAGAGGAAGAACAAGAAATTGGAAATCTATTTGAAAAAATAATGGAAGAAAACTTCCCTAATTTGGTGAAGGAAATAGACATGCAAATCCAGGAAGCACAAAAGAGTCCCAAACCAAATGGAAACAAAGAGGCCCACACCAAGACACATCATAATTGAAATGCCAAAGGTTAAAGATAAAAGGCAAGCTTTAAAAGCAGCAAGAGAAAAGCAGTTAGTTACCTGCAAGAGAGCTCCCATAAGACTTTCAGCTGATTTCTTGAAAGAGACCTATAGCCAAGGTTGCTCTACCCAGCAAAGATATCCCTAAGAATCAATGGGCAGATAAAGAGCTTCCTAGACAAGAAAAAACTAAAGGAGTTCATCATTACCCAAACATTATTATATAAAATGTTAAAGGGACTTATTTAAAGAAAAGATCAAAACTATGATCAATAAAGTGGCAATCAATACATATCTATCAACAACTGAATCTAAAAAACAAACTAAGCAAATAAAAGAACGGATACAAAATCATGGATACAGAGAGCATTTTGATGGATGCTAGATGGGAGGGTGATGTGCGAAGTGGGTGAAGAGGTGAGGAGATTACAAAAACTTAGTTACAGAATAGCCATGGGGATGTAAAATACAGTGTAGGAAGTGGAGTATCCAAAGAACTTACAGGCATGACCCATGGATATGAATGATGCTTTTGGGGTTGCCTGAGGGAGTTGGGGTTGTTGGTTGGAGGGGGTCAAAGGTGGAAAAATTAGGACAAGTGTAATAGCATAATCAGTAAAAGTTAATTAAAAAAGGAAAATATTTTCCATTATCTTGTTCAGTGTCCCACATGTAAGAACCACTTTATTTTTCTGAGGTGTAGATAGGGAAAAAGTCTATCATGAAAATTTTGATATAACTCATTATATTTCATCTTAATTTCTGTTTATTCTTAGCCTGTTTTCTAATACATTGTATTACCCCTTTCATTACCTACTTATTTTATTCTTACTTAATGATTATACACTATCTGTATATTTTTTAACAAAAGAATTTAAATAAATTTTGGAACTTGTGACGGTGTAAATAAAAATTAGTATTTGCATCATGAATATTTGTAAGTTAAGATTAAATAATTCCTTTTGGAAAATTTATCATGAATAGATATTAAAAATATCTAAACCAATCTAATTATTGTGTGTGTATGTATATACACACACACATGTATATACACATACATATATGTGTATATATATGGTTGTCCAGAAGGTATCCAGCCATGTACTATAAAAAATAGAGACATTTATTAAAGAAAATACAAGAAACATTGTACACAGGACAATGATGCTTCAGTCCCCCTCAAAGTAGGTACCTTGGGACCTCACATAGTTCTCGAATCACCATCAACTACCCCATTGTATTTTCCTGAATCTCACTGATCACCTGAAATTTCTTCCCTTCCAAAGGTGAATTTAGTTTTGGGAAAAGCCATAATTTTCAGAATACCAAGTCTGGGCTGTAGGGTGGCTGAGTCATCTGGGTGATTTGATGTTTCACCAAAAAACTCTGCACAGGACGTGATGCATGAGTGGGTATGCTGTCACAATGAAGTTGCCAATCACTAGTTGCCCATAGTTCCAGCCATCTGAATCATCTGAATAGTTTCCGTGGTGGAATGTTTAAGATTAACACAAAATTTGATGCAGATTTATTGCTCTATGTGCTCAGTCATTTTGAATGTGATGGCCACACAGTACACATGCTCACTCAGAGGTGTCTCCTGCTGCCACTGACTAGTATAGTGAAGTTGTCATTGTTCACGCATGCTCATTTCAGTCCCCTCTCCTTGGCTGCCAGGTTACATTGATGTTGTGCAAACTGTTCTTATTATATTAATAATGGCTGTATTTTTTTTCTGGAGAGACATTATAATATATAGTATTATAATATTATATATGTATATACATGTTGAAGTCTGTCCTACTTTGAAGGGGACTGAGGTGTCATTGTCCTATGTACAAAGTTTCTTTTATCTTCCTCTATAAATGTCTCTATTTTTCATAGCCCATGGCTGGATATCTTCTGTATGGCAAATTTATTAAACAAAAGTGGAGTCAACAATTTGAATTTGCATTCTAAACATTATATATACACATATATACACATATGTGTGTATATGTATATATGTATATGTATATGTATACACACACACACACACAAGACATACTGAGGATCTATTTTTATATATGTCTAAAGGCCCAGGAAAGTTAAGGAAAGCTTTTAAAAAATATAGTACAGGTAGTTAGTGGCAGAATTGGGGTGTCAGTCAGTGACTCCTTGCTTCCATTTCCAGAGTGTTTTATTTTTTGTTTATTTTACTATACCTTCTGCCTCCAGTTCAGCTTTTATATTTCCTTTTATTGTTAATTTGAGCTAAGTATTCTTTCTTATAAAATTGAAAAAAATATTGATATTAGAAAACAAGCTATCTGCTCAGAATAGAGAAAAAGACAGTTACATAATTGGAAAAGGCCAAATGGGGAACCTCTGATAATGATGTACCTACTTTTTAAAGAGAAGTCACCATGTGCCTGACACTCTGCTCAATGCCTTACAAACATTAGTTTATTTAAACCTCACAACCAACTTATACTGTCTGTTCTAACAAGGGACTGCTTTTTATTTAAATTATATGCAGATAATATAGGTTCTATGTTTGATCTAATAAAAGCATAATATATTGCTATGGAGATCTTAACTAATTCTTTACTTATTTCAAAATGTGACCTTTACTGTGGCCCAAATATCAGTTATCTTAGAGATTTGAGCTATTCTGTAGGAATTTTTATTGAGTCCCTGGTCATGTATATTGGAGTGTGATGTTGTTCTAGTGTTTATACTTATAAAGATAATTTAAGATAACAATTGTCAAGAACGTGATCTGTTTATATATATTTATATATTTACCACTACTAATAAAGAGTAGTTTGCATTTAGAATGTTCATAAGAGATTAAAGAAGAAGACAGTTAGAAAAGAGTGCTCAGAAAAATACAGATTCAATAACCTGAAGAATAAAGTGTGACTTTTTACTATTCCTTACATTTGTGAAGAGTGAAACAGTAAGAAGCTGTTCTCTGTTGTTTACAACCAAGTGAATACACACAGATTTAAATTGCAGGAACTCTTGGAAGTCTCATGAATAAAATACATTACCCTTTATTTTAGATATAAAATTAACATACAGATTTTCAAGCTACAACATTGACAAGTTAGGGAAATAACATTATTTTTTACAGTGAAAATTTGAATTAAAGGATTTTATACTAACGTATTGTAAAAATCCCAAAATGTGGGTGTGTATAAAGTTTATACATACAAGTCTGTGAGTGAGTTGAAAAATTAAGCAGCAGAGGAATAGCGCTCACCTTATTCAACTTCATTACTGGTAATGGCAGATTTTGATCAGCCAAGTCAAATGGCATTTGAAAATATGTGTAGAGATGGTGGAAAGTGAAGGAGGCAGTAGCTCACGGTCAAAGGCAGAAGAGTGGACTAGTAGATTGTGTCTGCTAGCACTTGTGCCTCTTTGGTAGCCATGTTCTTAGAGTCTGGAGGTAATATAAGGAACAATCTGGCTTGCAGAATGTCAGTATGTTTTATTAAACTCAATGCTCACTAACATCATGGGAACCAAACTTTATAGTCGGCTTTCTCCATCCATTAATCTAATCTTCAACACATGAAGCCTTGTTGATATTCTTATTACACAATTTCTAGAAATTGTTTCTTTGTATCTGTTTGACTTTATAACCTCATCACTTTCCTGTTGTTTGGCACATAGAAAAAGGTAAATAAATGACCAAATCCATTGAACCCAAGAGGTATATGGCTAGAAAGTGCCTTAGCATTCATGTAGTCTAACACTTCTGTTTCACAGACATGGATGCCAAAGTATATATAGTCCAATGACTGCCTAACTTCACACAAATAATGAAAGAACTGGGACTAGAAGTCAGATTTGGTGACACCCCAAGTTCATGCTGAATTGAAGGCTACAACATTTTGGAAACGACATCTGTGGAGATAAAGGTCCACAATATTGGGAAATGCCCTGCCTGGTTTCAGGGACTGTAGCCCCACTGACAGGCAAGGGGGCCCCAAGGCTGGAAATAATCAAAGAGGCCTTGGGAAAATAGGCCACTGAGGAGAAGAAACCTGTCCCGCTGGGCTGTGCCCCTGCCTCCCTCACATCACCCTGCTTGGCCCTGTGATGGTTGTTAGTTCATGACAGGTGAGATCTCTCATGAGGAGGGACAACCTAAGCCATACACAGCCGATATAGGCAGCAGGTCAAGGACTTGGGGGCCACGGACAAAGAGCAAAAAGGCCCGCACTCCTCGGCTCGACTTCGAAATGGCCAGAATCCTCATTCTGTCTGAAAGAAGTCTCCTTATCTCTTGGTGGCTCTGCCCCACCCTCCTGGCTCAGGCTTGAAACAGTACTAAAGGCAGGTACAGCTCTAAATTGGATTGGGCGATACCCAGGGGGAAATCAGGCCTAGAAGTAAATTCCTTAACGTTTCTTTGTTCTTCCCTCAAAAGCTATGATAAACACTTAGATTGGGAAGGACATTTACATTATTCATAGACCCTGACCTGAGGCAGATCTCTTGTGTTCCTTCAATTGTTATCTATGATCTCTATTTGTTTTCTGTAAACATAGCCTTTTGACATTGATTGATGAGCTTTGCATTCATACCCCTGTGCATATGGTTCTCAATAAAAGCCTTTGGACATGGGGGTTTGGGGCCTTTTCCACTAGAGGGATGAGCCGTGCCCCCTCTCCTGGCAGAGAAGTGTTTGCAATGACTCGTGTTTATTCCCCCCATCCATGACAACCCCCGGATGGGCTCTGCGGGATTCAGAGCCCCACTCCCTCCTCAGCTGGCTCTGGACAGTAACCCTCAGATCCAGGAGCCCACTGTACAGTGCTCCCCGTGACACCACATTCATGGGCAAGGTTTTTGGGACTCTGTAAAACTGAGGTAGCTCATTCCTAAGCAGGTTGTAAAAGTGAATGAAGAGGGGAGTGCACCTGTCGACAGACCAGGCTCCTCTGGTGTTAGGATGACTGTCCTGTGTGTCGTGGTGCTGACTTCAGTCAGCTCTCTGTGAAGGACTGAGAATTCCTCCCTGTAGACTTTTGAGAGCAGTTAACTATGGAGATTACACTAGGATAAGCCAAACAAACAAACAAACAAAAAACAGAACAACTTTCTCTGAAGTATTAGGAAGTAAGCCATAAAGTAAGAAGTGCTTTGAAATGTACTTTTGGTTATGATCACTTCAAATAATTCCATAAGGTTTTACTTTATCTTTGTCATTTGCTATAAAGACATTTTATCATTACCCCTTTTATTTATTACTGCTATTTTCAGATTCAAGAGCATACAAAGCTTGTAAGGCGAAAAATAATGAGTTGTTTGTAAAAGTACCTTTGGGGTTTTATTTCAAAATATTTAAAATTAAGTTAGTGTTAACTAATAGATGTTAAACACATTTTTTTTCCTCAATTGCAAGCACTATCCCCACGTTTTTGTTTGTTTTCAAGGTTTAAAACCTAATTGCTTTATCCATTAACTTCTTTAGGAAAAAGTAATCCATGGTGTTTTCATGCCCCGAGGTTATCTTGAATTGGTACCAAATCCTAAGGACAATGAAGTGGATCACATAAGAGCAACATGTTTTAACAGTGATATAGTCCTGATGCCGGAGTTATCAACCTTTAGAGTTTTGCCATGGGCTGAGAGAACAGCAAGAGTGATCTGTGACACATTCACTGTGACTGGTGAGCCTTTATTGACTTCCCCGAGGTACATCGCCAAGAGGCAGCTGAACCAGCTTCAAGACTCCGGCTTCTCCCTGCTCTCTGCTTTTATCTATGATTTCTGTATTTTTGGTATGCCTGAAATGATCAATTCAAAGACCATATCTTTTCCGGCTTCAACACTGCTAAGTAATCATGACCAACCCTTCATCCAGGAACTCGTTGATGGTTTGTATCACACTGGAGCCAATGTCGAGAGCTTTTCCTCCTCTACCAGGCCTGGTCAGATGGAAATCTGTTTTCTGCCCGAATTTGGCATCAGTTCAGCTGATAATGCATTCACCCTCAGATCAGGTGTTAAAGAAGTGGCCAGAAAATATAATTACATCACTAGCTTTTTCTTTGAGACTGGATTTTGCAATTCAGGAGTTTTGTCTCATAGTCTCTGGGATGTCGGAGGGAAGAAAAATCTGTTCTGTAGCAGTTCTGGAACTGAGCAGCTCACGACCACCGGGGAAAAATGGTTGGCCGGACTCCTGAAGCACGCTGCTGCGCTCAGCTGCCTAATGGCTCCCGCCGTGAGCTGCCGAAAACGCTATTCCAAGGAAAGTAAAGACCAGAAGGAGAGTAAAGACCAGAAGGAGAGTGTGCTTATAACTTGGGGCTATAACGATAACAGCTGTGCTTTTAATATTAAGTGTCATGGGGAGAAAGGCACCCAGATAGAAAATAAACTGGGATCAGCAACAGCAAATCCTTACCTGGTGCTGGCGGCGACTGTTGCAGCAGGTTTGGATGGACTTGGAAGCAGCGTTGGTGCCTTGGCTGGTCCAGATGACAGCGTAGAGCTTTATCCATCAAAACCTTCCGAAATACCTTTGAAACTGGAAGATGCCCTTATGGCACTGGAGGAAGATCAATGCCTGAGACAGGCTCTAGGAGAAACCTTTATTCAGTATTTTGTTGCCATGAAGAAGTATGAGCTGAAAAATGAAGAAACAGATGCTGAGAGAAATAAATTCTTAGAGTACTTTATTTAAAATAGGTCTCTTAACTATTCCTTCAGAGGTGTGATTTTTACTTAAGTAGCTGATCTACAATAAAGAAAAGATTGGACTTTTGTAATTGACAAGAAGATCGCATATTTTTTTTTTTTTGTTTTTTTTGTTTTGTTCTGTTCCCATGGAATATTTGACAAATGAAGTGGACTGCTGAGAGGATTCTGATAACAATAAAGTTGTGGTGAAGATGTAATATGCAAACTTACCAGGTCTTGTCAGTCAGTCCTCATTTCCTCTGTGAATGTTGACCAAGATAGAAATACTCAGTTTCTTTCAGGTAACAAATATATTTATACAATAAAAATGTCTTAAGAATTAGAAATCAGCCCTGACTGGTGTAGTTCAGTTGGTTGGACATTGTCCCCCAAAACGAAGAGTCACTAGTTAGATTCTGGGTTGGGGCACAGGCCTGGGTTGTGGGTTCTGTTCCTGATCAGGGTCCGTATAGGAGGGAACTTGATCGATGTTCCTCTCTCACATCAATGTTTCTCTCCCTCCCCTCCCCTCTCTCTAAAATTAAATAAAATAAAAAAGAATTAAAAAGCAAAATTTACATCACTTAAAAGAAATAATTTCAATTATACAGATAGGTTGTGACTGCTAGGGAGACAGAAATGCTTGCTAATATAATCTCACTAATCAAGACATACTGAGGATCTATTTTGCAAGCATCACTGTGATGTTTCTAAATAAGTTAAATAAGTTTTGCAAAAATATGTCATGATGACAAGACAGCAGAAGTGTTCCCATATGTCCCTTCTCTTTTTACCCTTCTTCATTATTTTCTGAAAGGCCTAGGAACTTCAGGGCTCTAATGTCCATAAGACACAAATCCACAAGAAATAGAATTCAGGCTGGGAACAATGAGGTCAAGCATTTAAAACCTTTAAAAAAAACAAAACAAAACAATGCCTCATCTAGAAGCCCAATACATAAAATACAGGTAGAATGACTTATGTGTGTGGGCATGAATCAATTCTGTGTGATTTGCTCCCTTTGCAGAACTAAAGATTTCAAAGATATATCTGGTGTTTTGTGAAATGTGAGAATAAATGCTTAGATAACTAGGGCTATACTTGCAGCTTAAATTTGTATTTAAATTACTGATTGTGCTGCCCACAGAGTTTGGTATCTCTCCAGAGAATATTTGTTCCAGACCTGAATGAGATAATATTTTCACTATCACTATTTAGCTTCTTTAGGGATGAAATCCAAAATCCACACACTAGCAAATGAAAACCCTATTCTAGTGTTTAGGATCAAACAGGAGATTTTGTGTCCAGTTAAAACCAACTGTGTTCTCAATTTAGATAGCAAACAAATAGGCAGAGGATTAGAATTTGGCTCAGGTTCTCCTTATTCAAATCTGTAGTACAGTGGTCCCCCCTTACCTGTGGGGTTACATTTCAAGACCCCCCAGTGGGTGCCTGAAACTGAGGAATACAACTGAACCCTATATAGGCTATGTTTTTTCCTATGTATACATACATATCTACATACCTTTTCACTTAAAAGAAAACACCTTATGTTTCTCTTTGGCATATCTGAATTGCAGCATCACTACTCTTGTGCTTTGGGACTATTATTAAGTACAATAAAGGTTACTTGCATATAAGCACTGTGATACTGAGATAGTGGATTTGATAACTCACACAGGTCCTGAGTGACCAATGGGTGGATCGCATGTACAGCATGGATTTTATGGACAAAGGGATGATTCACATCCTGGTTGGGTCAGGAGAGCGAGGGACAGTGTGGGGTTTCATCATGCTACTCAGAAGGGTATGCAATTTAACATTTATGAATTGTTTACCTTTGGAATTTTCCATTTAATATTTTTTAGACTGTGGCTCGGATAACTGAGACCATGAAAATTTGAACTGCGGATGAGGGAAGACTACTCTACTCAGTAGTTTAAATAGTGACAGTTGGTCTGTCCTTCTCTAATTGCTTCCCTTGCCTGTTTTTTGAGCAGAAATGTGTTTAGATGCATAAGAATAAGGTTCTTTGTTGGACTAAGAGGTAGAGAGAAAGGTGGTGTAGGGTGGGTAGATCAAAGAATGAAATTCCACACATTATACACGGCAGGGAGAGGAGGGAGGAAGCCCAACCACATGGCAGCTTATTAGTTGTCTGCCAATGTTCATTCTCCCCTCTCTTCTCAGTAATAACTCCTAAATATGTCATTTGGGAAAACATTATGAAAAATAAAAGTAACATTTCTGACTTTCCATTGTGGCTGAATATGGTCCAAAGAGATGTAAATAGAAGTGCCGTATGGAAGCTCAGGGAAACTTCCTTAAAGGACAGATGCTCTGCTCCTGGTACTGGTACTTATTCCATCTTTCCTCCTTTACTTTTTCTGCTGGCTGGTCTCAGATAAGGTGACTGAAACAGTGCCCTTGGGAATGGAGGCTGAACAAGGTGGAGTAACAAGATGAAATCTCTGCTTTGTGGAGCAGAATTCGATTTGCCCACATTCAGACTTTTATCTGAGAGAGAAACAAACTTCTATCTCCTTTAAAGAACAGTGATTTGACATTAGGCTTCTGGCCAAGATGAAGGAGTAGGTAGATATACTTGGCCTCCTCACACAGCCAAAAGAAGGACAACAAAAAATTAAAACCAGAAAATAACCAGAACTGTCAGAAAACCAAACTGAATGGAAGTCCAACAACCAAAGAGTTAAAGAAGAAACATTCATACAGACTGCTATGAGGGGTGAAGACAGGGAGCTGGGGCAGAGAGGACATGCAGCAAGGTGGCAGCTGGAGAACTGGGTGGGTGAGGCAGTGGCTGGTGCATTTGGTGGTCCCATATTTGTGTGCGGATAAACTGGGTGGAACAACAAGGGAGTGAGACAGACCATGCAACCCAGGGTTCTAGTGTGGGAAAAGAAAGCCTCAAAACCTCTGGCTGTAAAAACCTATGGGGGTTGCAGCAGTGGGAGAAATTCCCAGTCTCACAGGAGAGTTTGCTGGAGAGGTCCTAGAATGTACACCAGGACATGGCACCAGAAGGGCACAATTTGCTTGTGGGTAGCAGGGGAAGTGACTGAAAGCTGGCCTAGAGTCGAGCAAGCAGCATTGTACCCTCTTGGACCCCGCCCCAAATACAGCATCACAATGACCTGGGTTGCCCTGCCCTGGCGAATACCTAAGGCTCTGCCCCTTACAATTTAACAGGTGCACTGAGACAAAGAAATATGGCCCAAATGAAAGAACAGATCAAAACTCCAGAAAAAGAACTAAGCAACGAGGAAATACCCAACCTATCAGATGAACAGTTCAAAACACTGGTAATCAGGATGTTCACAGAAATGATTGAGTACAGATGCAAAATAGAAGAAGAAGTGAAGGCTATGCAAAGTGAAATAAAGAAAAATATACAGGGAACCAACAGGGAAGGAAAGGAAACCGGGACTCAAAATAAAGATTTGGAACAGATGGAAGAAATAAATATTCAACCAGAACAGAATGAATAAACAAGAATTCAAAAACAATGAGGAGAGTGTTAGGAACCTCTGGGACAACTTTAAATTTCGAAACACCTGAATCATAGCGGTATCAAATAAGAAGAGGAAGAGCAAGAAATTGAAAACTTATCTGTAAAAATAATGAAGGAGAATTTACCTAGTCTGGTGAAGGAAACAGACTTGCAGGAGATCCAGGAAGTTCAGAGAATCCCAAAGAAATTGGACCCAAGGAAGCACACACCAAGGCATATCATTATTAAGCTACCCAAGATTAAAGATAAGAAGAGAATCTTAAAAGCAGCAAGAGAGAAGGAGACAGTTACCTACAAAGGAGTTCCCATAAGATTATCAGCTGATTTCTCAAAGGAAACCTTATAGGCAAGGAGGAGCTGGAAAGAAGTATTCAAAGTCATGAAAGACAAGTACCTACATCCAAGATTATTCTATCTAGCAAAGCTATCATTGGAAGGGCAGATAAAGTGCTTCCCAGATAAGGTAAAGTTAAAGGAGTTTATCATCACCAAGCCCTTATTATATGAAATGTTACAGGGACTTATCTAAGAGAAAGAAGATCAAAAACAATGAACTGTAAAATGACAACAAACAACTATAAACAACTAAACCTAAAAAAAACCAAAACCAAAAACAAACTAAACTAACAACTACAACAAGAACAGAATCACAGAAATGGGAATCAGAGGGGAAGGGGAAGGGGGAATATGAGGGAAAAGGTACAGGTAATAAGCAGCATAAATAGGAGCAAGATAGACAGGGGTGGCTAAGAATAGTATAGGCAAAGGAGAAGCCAAAGCTTAAATGAACGACCCATGGACTGAGTTGGGGGGATGCTTGGGGGAGGGGCGATGCAGATGGAGGGGTATAAAGGGGAGGAAAAAAATGGGACAACTGTAATAACATAATCAATAAAATATATATTTAAAAAAAGAACAGTCATTTGAGGTCTTTTTTACTTGTGATAAAACTTGTATTCTTGTTTACTTGTATGTGAGTGTGACTGTGGTGTTTGTATGAGTCATGTGTTTGAGTGTATGTGTGTGGGGGGAATTTGAGGGATTTGGGATGAAAGAATAAAGATATAAGCAGTAAAAGCCTACTTCCTCAACCTTCCCACTTGTATAGAGTAGAATCTGAGTTAGAGGAGTCCACACATGCGAAAAATTATATTGTCTTATACCCTGATAGAGCTCTAGAGACCCATTCATACTCCGTGGGCCTTTATGAAACATGTTTCATGCTTTGGCTTGTTTTTTACCATAATGGGTTAAAGATGTTATAAAAAACTTACATGTTTGTAGCCTTTATTTTTCCCTCATACATTTTATTAGCATTTAAAAAACACAACATTCCGGATGCCAGTCGGAGGAAATTATGGGAATATTATCTTTGGTGTTCAGTGTACGGTGGTGAGGGGACAGAAAACATTCGGTCACATGTTACCAATCTGTTTATGACATAAATTGGTGTGGCAATCTTCATGGAGATTTCCCTTAGGTCTGCT